GATGATGCAGAGGCTAGTTGATTTGAAGACAACAACAGAGATTCAGCAATAAGTGTGCAAGAGTGAAGGAGAAAGAATTGAGAATCTGAAATAAATGTGGAAGAGGGAAGGAGAAAGAATTGAGAATCTGAAATAAATGTTCCCATTGTAAACATGGAGCCGTTGGGATGAGGTCATTATAATGTGACGGCTGGAAAGAGAAACCTGTTATGAATTGAAGCGGGGTATAATGGGAAGTACGGCACAACATTTTAACTGATGCGGGGTATAATGGGAAGTGGCCATAACATTTAACGGAGACGGGTAGCTTGACAATAACTAACGTTAGCCGGGTATTTTGACTAATAGGAAACCTTTTTAGGGCATTTTAACAAATCGTCCCCTGCTTCCACCCCAATTTTGATAAAAGCTTAAGTAATTGCTCTCGATAACAGTAAAACATACCACCTCCGTGTCAAAGCAAAGTAGGTGAGAAATAAGAATAGCAAAAATTGTGTGGTTGAGATTTGTGCAGAGGAGAGAGAAAAATGTGCAGAACAATAAATTAGTTGCTTTAATAGAAAAGTGATAAAGTTTTTTGGGACAACGAAAAAGGCAAAGTTAGCAAAATCTAATGGGACGGAAGGGGTAACACATTTCCCTAAATACGAGTTAACTCCTAATCTTCACCAAACAGGAGTGAACATTAATTTTTTACCCCTAATACCCCTATTCTAATTAATTATTGCTCCCCCTAGTTTGCTTGGGCAACCAAGGCAGTCCGTCGGTGGCGGGGCAGTCCGTGATGGCGGCAGCACTGCGGAAGCTGTCAGCGGCGGATTCCGGCAGCGACGGCGAATTCCGGTAAATAATTAACCCAATCAATTTCCCATCTAGTTCTCTTGCACAACCAAGGAAGTCCGTTGGTAGCGAGGGCATTCCGGTGGTGGCGGCGGCGACAGATTCCTGCAGCGGCGGAGAGCGGCTCTGGCGGCAGAAATCTGGCAGGTTGCCAGAAAAAAAATAATGGGAATTTCCGGCGGTGCTCCGGCAACGGCGGCAGGCGGCGATCCGCCAGTCCTGGGGCAACAGTGGTAAAGGTTGTGAGGGGTATTTTGTTCCAATCACAAATAAAAACCTCCTATTTGGAGAATTTTACAAACTCTCCTATTTTTGCACTTTCTATATGTTTTGCTCCTATATGGGGAATTCTCTCTAAAAACTTTTAATAATTTCATATAAACATTGATACATGTACAAAATATTTTATACAAAAATCTGTTTCTTTTTTATTGGTCCGGTGCAATTAGTACTACCGGCAATGCCCATGTAGTATTTGATATTCTGATTCTGCTTCTAGTTTTAAAATTGATTTATTTGTTTAGATATTATGTGATAAGTGATTAACCGTAAATGTTGATATTGTTTGAAAAGTAAAAAGTGAATTTTAGAGTCAAGGTTGGAGATTTTGGTGCACAAAAAACTTCTATTGTAATAGATTATAAAGATATAAAACGGTTCTAAGAGTAAGCACCACTATGTTTAGTTTTTGAATTTAAATTGTTCAAATTCTTTAAAACACTTATAAAAACGAGACTAACAAATTTGTTTAGGTTTCAAAACTAAAAACACTTGTAAAAACGAGACTCACAAATTTTTTAAAACAAAAAGTGAAAAGTGGTTCTTTGAAACCAATGCAAAAACTTCATGAGTAGACCTTTACAAGCCGTGTTTAGCAATTTTTGGCAACAAGCGAACTGAGTATCGACTACAATGAAAACTTATCTTCGATGGTCAAACTCACTACAATTTGAACTCTCCTAGTTGTTTTGACTATAAAAGGTCGGGTGTTACACTAAATGGAAATCTGTAATGCGTTTCTTCATGGGGTCTCGAAGAAGAATTGAAATATAAAATTGAATTGGCCTCCATGATTTGTAACAAGCTCCCCAGTGTTGGTTTACCAAACTCTCTGTTGCTCCTAAACGATACGATTTTATTTAGTCTCATTCTAATTATTCCATATTCTCCTTGGGATGTGACTCCAATGTAATACATGCACGTCCTCATTTATGTGGATGATTTGATTTGGAAGCAAATGACGATGAATTCGTGTCGACTCTTTTAAGGCATATCTAGATAGTTGTTTTTCATATGAAGGATTTAGGAAAATTAAACAAAATATTTCCGGAGGATTGAAGTTGCGCATAATACAACAAAAATCCCCATTAGTCAGCGCAAGCATGAAGTGCATAATATACCTAAAGGCAGTTTGTTTGGCTCAACGGCTCAGTAAGCCCTTGATATTCCTCTTAACCAAAATCATCATCTTACAAAGTGCATAATATACATGATGCTACTTCTTAGTTGACTCAATGCTCTCTTATCAGATGGTTTGTTCAGTTGGACACATCCCTGATATTCTGGAAAATGAAAGAACAACATGCATTTACACGCTCATCCACTTATGCAGAGTACTAATTTCTCGCAGCGGTAACATGTGAATTAAACTAGCTCTGTTGTACTCTGCTTAGTATTGGAGTTGGGCAATTCTTCATTATGGCAATCAAATGTGACGGCACGATTGCACTCTATATTGCGGTCAATCACGTGTTTCATGGACATACTAAATACATCGAGGCAGATTAGTACCTCATTAGAGATGAACGAACTCATTTGTGATGTAGTCTCAACACAATGGCGGAGGCAGGAATAACAAATTGGAGTGGGGGGGGGGGGGGGGGGGGGGGGGTTAAGGCCTTTATATTGGGAGTGCCAAAACTTAAAATTTCAATATATTTTTTACTACTTATAACTATTTAATTATACATATGCATATACATCATAATTTTTTTTCTTGAGGGGTCGAGCCCCCTGCCACCCCCTGTCTCCACCCCTGCCAACACAACATATCCCGACTTTAGTGCAATGCACAAATTTTTTCTCCAAAGCACTTTGAAAGAAGGCGTTTGAATTATTTATTCTCAAGTTGGACATTTACCTTCGTGCTCAAACATATAAACGAGGTATTAGAATATTCAATGTATTTGGGTATGTTTAAGTAGTATTAGAATATTTGATGCATGTGGGTGTACTTAAATATATTATAAAAAGGTGCATTTAAATATGCTAGTGCATATATTTATTTATTGTGTAACTATTTGTATAAATAGCAGCCTTCTATTTATTTCGAGGCATTGGAGTACATATGAATATTCATATTTTTGAGATAATACAAATATTGTACTATAGTGTCCCTTTTTAGTTAGCCATTTTGAGTTTTTAGTCATTGATGATAAATTTTGATCGATCTTTTTAATTTATATATTTTATGAAATTAATAAATTTTATTCTTTTATAAAAATATTTCTAACAAAGAATATTTCGGTATCTTTTTCATATTATAAATACTTCTGAATATAGATTAAATTTAATATCTTTAAATGGAAAAGTAAGAGATTACTAATTAGAAATGGACGGAGGAAGTATATATTATATAATGTGATCGAGAGCACCTCTAATGCCACAAACGTGCACAATGCACACGTGAACATAAGAGAGGTAGACATAAATATTAGTAATTAATATATCTTTCTCCTTGTTTAAAAGGTCTTATATATTTTCGATAGACAATATGATTAATATTGTAGAGAAGAAGCTATATAAACACACTACCTTCGCTCCCAAATAAATTTCGCACTTTCTTTTTTGGCAGATCCAAAATACATTTAACACTTCTATTTTTGATAAATTTTTAGTACCACCCCCATTCTTAAATAAATGCCACACGTGGAATTTTACACAATTCAAATGTTTTACTTGACTACGTTTTATTTATTAATGTATTAATAATTTCTTTTAAAAATATATTGTTAAATTTGTTTCATCCTAAATTTTCAAAATTTGAAATTTTTAATTTTTTTACTAAAAAGAATAAAAGATACTAAAAGCCAAAGTTGTGCATTAGAAAAATGAAATTTTGATTGTTGCATTTATTTAAGAATGAAAGTAAGACTATATTTGGCAGACATAAGTCTCTTACCTTCTAGCTTTTGTACTATTTCAAAAGTCTCTAAACGCTTCTAGTTATACGTTTGACATGACAATTTTTAATAGCTTTTCAAAAATTAAAAGATATTTTTTGAGATGCTACATGGAGTAGCATCTGAAAAAAGTCTGTGACTTTTAGTATTAATTAGTCCTAACAGCTTGTATACCAAACCAGACTAAATCAAATAGTCAGCTTTTTACCAAACAGCTACCACCTTTTCTCTTTAAAATCTTTCCAGTCACTAAAAGCTAACAGTTATTAAAAATCTCACAAAAGTATCTTTTAAGCTAGTTGTGCCAAACATACCCTAAGTATACAATTATCATTATACATTTACTTAACATAACTAATTTACTTCTTAAGTTCTTATAGCCTTATAGGAAAAGTAAAAGAATCACTTTTGTAAAGAGGTAAGGGTCAGTTTGATCCTTGAAGTTGCATAAAAGGGGTCAAATAAGTCCTTATAACGTCCTTACTGTCCGGTCGTCGCCATTTGGGGTGGTTCCTGGTGAAGTTTTTTGATAAAATTCTTTGAGCATCTTATTCATTAAGTCTAGTTTACTCATACAAAATTTCAGATAAAACTTCAATCGGGAAAGTATTCAAATAAAGTCTTGAAAATAACTGCGCAGTTAAAAGCGCAGTTATCTTCAAGACTTCATTTGAATGTCTTCCCGATTTAAGTTTTAGTTAAAATTTGGTATGAGTAAACTAGACTTAATGAATAAGATTCTCAAAAAAAATCATCAAAAAATTTCACCGGGAAATGCCTCAAATGACGACGGCCGGACAATAAGGACGTCATAAGGACTTATTTGACCCCTTTTATGCAAGTTCCAGGACAAAACTGACCCTTACCTCCTTTTGTAAAATACTCCGTAGTAAAGTCATTGTGTAAAGTTTATTCCGAAGAGTAGAGAGTATAAAAGTGTGATACTCGTGATAATAACAAGATAAACTAAACAAATAATATAAACATTACACAGTACTCCGTACTACCTAAACACCAGCTGTGTTCCCACTTTTTACTTGCTCTTTAAGTTGTGTTTCGTAGACATGCTGAAGACTCCAGCTTTGAATATTTGAATTTCTGTCTTGGGAGAAATCTGGATGACTCGTTTGCCGGATATGTACAGAGCTAATTTGATCGGGTTCGTGTTGGCCGTGGCTTCCAGCGTCTTCATTGGGTCCAGCTTCATAATCAAGAAGAAAGGACTCCAGAGAGCCGGTGCCTCCGGCTCTCGAGCCGGTATGTGCAGTTTATAAGTGCCCGAGTTTAGTCATCCTTTTCTGATAGTAGCGTAGATTGCTTGTTCTGCTGGATGTTGAGTAGTTGTTCCTAGTTTATCGGCTCAGTTTCTCTTTTTCTGAGGTAGCGTAAATTTTGGCACTCATATTTCTGTCATGGTTATGATGCAACTAGATGCTCTAGTGAAGCGAGGGAAATAAGGGTTAGAGTTGTCTTTTCAAGCCGTGAAAGTGCTTGGGGTAAAGGTCTTCATTTTAGAAAGTCGTAATGCCAATTTGCTTAAGCAGTCAAATGGATTCTGCATTTTTCATCAAGTTACCATTGAAGTTGTTTTTTTCTTCGTTTTCTTCTTTAATAATACATGCGGAGTTAATTATAATTTGGGGCATGAATCAGCCACGTAAGAAGAACTTTTTCAATGTCTAACTCAAATATCAGTAGACCTCACATAGTTTCGGGCCATTGAAGTTTATAGAAGTGCTTTGAAAAGGAGTGATGATTTTAGAGTGACAGTTTACTGCTTAAAGTTCAGAGATCATCAATAACTACATGAAACCCATAGTTTTAGGTGTTCTGACCTTCAATGGATCTTATGGCCTTATCAGAGGTAAATGAGTAGCTAAGGTCAAGCCCACCATGGAGCAGGGCTGCCATATTATATAATAGTAGTTGAGAATTGAGATAAGAGCAATGAAGAAGACATTGATCTTCATGTTTTAATTTATATGTTTCTTGCATCTCCAATTGATAAATGACATTTTGGCACAATCTTTCCGAAGGAGAAATAATTTGGTGGAAGTTGAAGGCATGACAAGTTGAAAATTTTCAAGGGAGTATGTGGAGTCGTAGTGCATGATACTACCTCCGCCCCCCTAAGATTGGGACAAAGGAGAGTGGTGCGGTTGATGCGGTTGATAATAAATTGATAAAGTTGGAATAAAGTAAGAATGAATTAGAGTCACAAATATTACCAAATATGGTAGAAGAAAAATTTAGTGGGACAGACGGAAAAGGGAAAATGGGACAATTATAGTGGGGTGGAAGGAGTAGTTGAGTTTGAAGAAAGTTAGTGATATTTGAGTTACTGATGGAAGTCATCTTTGTTTCCCCTATTGTATTACATTGCCTACTCACTTGCTATAATGCTAGAACCCTTAATTTAATCCGTTATAATTGTGGGCTTTATCCATGGTACGGTACTTTTTCTTGGATCCAAAAATAATTATAAGAACTGAAAAATCTTTACTAGAATTTGGGCATATCCTTAGATGAGCAATTTCTATATGTGATATTGACACACCCTTGGTATCATAGGATCTAGATAAGTAAATTAGAATCTTAACTAGTTTTGCAGAGTGTCCATAAGTTTTTCTCTTTGCCATTGAACCATAAAATGTTGGTTTTCATGTTTGACACTTTGACATGATATTGTGAGAGAACCTGTTATAAAAAAAATTAAAGGGGCTTCCTTATTTACCCTATCAGGTAGTTTGCGTAGTTATAAAATACCAAAGGTTCTACATAGAGGTTGCATGGGCATAAGTTGTGTAGATGGGAGTAACTTAAAGTGTATATGCTTTATTTCTTTAGTGGCTAAGCAGTTCACTAATTCAGGTTGTGGAGGGTATGGTTATCTACGTGAGCCACTTTGGTGGATTGGAATGATCACTAGTAAGTGTATTATTCCTGAGAATATAAGGTATTCAGATCCATAGTGCTCAGAGGTATGCAAGTATCATAAGCTTCCTTGTGTTATATCTTTGCAGTGGTTATTGGAGAATTTGCCAACTTTGTAGCTTATATTTTTGCACCAGCTGTGCTTGTTACACCACTGGGTGCTTTAAGTATAATTGTTAGGTAATTTTTTCCCTCACGGTTTAACCTCATTATTTTGGATAAAAGTGAATAATTACTTTAATTAGGCATTCTGTTTATTTCTGTCAGTGCTGTCCTAGCTCATCTATTACTGAAGGAAAAATTGCAGAACTTGGGAGTAATAGGATGCATTTTATGTGTGGTGGGTTCTACAGTAATTGTCCTTCATGCACCAGGTGAACATGGTATTAGTTCAGTGGATGAGATATGGGATTTAGCTACACAACCAGGTCAACTGATATGCTTATTCTGCCAATCTGGCTCCAAAAGTTTAATTATTGCATGATAGATTAGGTCAAAGGTAATGTATCTCCCTCATGGTGGTCCACTTTCATTCATGCAGCTTTTCTTTTATATACTGCGGCCTCAATAACAATAGTATTGGTACTGGCGTTATATTGCGAGCCACGCTATGGTCAAACACACGTTATGGTTTATATTGGCATCTGTTCGATAGTAGGATCATTGACGGTTAGTGTTCGTTTCCTCTGCACCGTCTTTTGTTTGATAATGGCATTCACCATTCGAGACAATTTCTAGGAATTGTAGTACATCACTATATTGTACTCTTCTTAGAGTTCTTGTGTTATTTATGATCTTTTCACTTCCTGATTTGATAATTGCTGGGCATCTCAGTCTGTTAGTCAAATAAAAAAGTGAGTATCTGCTAGCAGTCCATGTGCCGATATTCAGAAAACATAAGGGAAGTTTTGTTCGCAGTATGTGACATTACCTTATCTAGTTAATGATATCAAAGTAATGAAACAAATCTTATATGGTTCACGTAATTTAATCACCTCAATAATTTAAAAATACTGTCATGCTTGGTTTTTTAAGTAAAAGAGGGGGAGTGCGATTATTTCCATTTCTAAGGTAATATAAGATTATCTTCGTAATAATCTAGACTACTCTGGGTTTGTTTTTGACAATTTGGCAGCATAAGTTATATCAATTCCATGAACCAAACACTTTAATGTAATCCCATATTCCTCTAATTCCTCCAATTGCATAAATGTTTAGTTTCTGCCACTTACCCCCCCCCCCCCCCCCCCAATAAAAGTGATACTTTAGAATGCTAGATTAATAGTGCAAAGTTTTCACATTGGGAAAAATAATTAAAATACCCCAAACTTTGAAGGGGTGTGAGGTAAAAAGTTGCACCATGGTCATGTATTATTTCTTTCAAAAATGTTAATTTTTTGTGTTAATTTCATAATTTAAAATATTTTGGCATTCATGAAAATACAAATAACATTCTAAACTTCCATTGTAAAATAAATAATACTACCCCCACTATATATAATTGGAGCGTTTTTAATTTTTTTATTCTAAATTATGCAATTAACAACATAAATTTACATTTTCGAAAAAAATAATATATGACCATGGTGCTAATATAACTTTTTATACTCCCTCCGGTCCTAAATAAAGTTCAGTGTTTGACTTCACACAAATTAAGGAAGTAAATTTGACTTTACTGTAGAGTAAACTGTTGTGACACTGTTTGGCACTGTTTTGCCTCGTTTTGCACTGTTTTGATGTAGATAATTTGCCAAATAAGGAATGGAGAAGAAGTGTGAACTTTATTTTGGACTGGCCCAAAAAGAAAAGTGTGAACTTTATCTAGGACCGGAGGGAGTATAAAGTTTAGGGTATTTAAATTACATATGAAAGTTTGGGGTGTTTATCTCACACCACTTCAAAGTTTGGGGTATTTTAATTATTTTTCCCTTTCACATTTTTTGGTAGGATTTCATTGTACTCCCTCCGCCCCGCTAACTTTGTCCTGTTTTACCTTTTTCGTCCGTCCCATTATGTTTGTCCCATACCATATTTGGTAATATTTGGGTGTTTACAATTTATTCTTACTTTATTCACACTTTATCAATTCAATACCAACCACACAATTCCACTTTTTCTTAAAAGTTGTGCTACACCCCTTTGTCCCAAACATAGTGGGACGGAGGTAGTACTATATGAGGCTTATTAGAACGTGACTAGTTGAACTTTTGAAATATGAACTAATAATGTCTTTTTTGTTTTATTAACCAATATTATGGCACTGATGGAACAGTGTCTGTAAAACAATGTGTACCTGCACACTGCACAGTACTGGCTCACCATTCTAAAACTTTATGCTAAATGTTACAAAATGTTGTTATTCATCTTCGATAAAGTAGTAAACCACTATATGTCTCCATTAAAATGCTATTTTTCATGCATTAATTATATCACATAGTGAAGCTTTTACTTTTGCCAACCCCAAACTCTTTTGGGATTAAGGCTCGGGTGTTGGTGTTGAGTGAAGCTTTTACTTTTGATGTCACTGGCATTGACTTTGGACAATTATTAATTATTAATAAAAGTCACCTTTTGGTACTTGATCAGGAATTTGGAAACAGTTTTAAACAATTTCTTCTAAATTTTAAAAGTTAAATCTACTTCCTTATCCATTCACTTAAACAATGAGAGCTATATACTTTTAGCTTTTAAACTCTAACTATGTATTTAGCTAAACCCGAAAATCATAAGCTTTTAAACAATTTATGTTATGAATGGACAATATGAAATCAAGGCAATGACTGTGACTCAAAGAAGGAAATTTATGTCAATTATGTGTATGGAGGACTCGAATTTAGCACAGAGCTGACTCAATGATGCTCAGGTGATGAGTATCAAAGCAGTAGGCATTGCAATAAAGCTTACTCTGGAAGGCTCTAGTCAAGTTGCACACCTGCAGACATGGGTTTTTGTAATGGTTTCAGTTCTGTGCATAATCTCTCAGCTGAACTATTTAAACAAGGTCTGTTTCATCATAAACATCTTTCCCCTTGTTTCCTTTTTGTTCACATAATACTCATATACATATCTATGATGGTGGATGGGTTTTAGGTTTTTTTTGTGATGACCAGAACTAACCGAGCAACGAGAGTGTCTTAAAATAAATGTTCCCAATTTGATGTCATGAAAGTTTCCAGTTCTCACAATAATGACAAGAGTTCTTACTTCTTATTTCTTCAGGCTTTGGACACATTTAACGCAGCTGTTGTTTCCCCAATCTATTACGCAATGTTCACGTCACTCACAATTGTAGCCAGTGCCATAATGTTTAAGGTGATTTTCCAACTGGAGAAAGCATTGTCTTTAAAGTTCAGATTTTTATTTGTTTCTGTTGTTTTAGGATTGGTCTGGTCAGAGTGCTGGCAACATCGTTTCAGTGCTCTGTGGGTTTTTAACAGTGCTTTCGGGTACTTTGGTTCTTCACTGCACTAGAGATCCTGACCTTCCTGGTATGTACACACTCATTTGCATACTAGACACAAAAGTATCTGCTAGTCCTACGGGTCGAACTTTGCTAGGCTATGTTTAGCATGCGGTAAGCTAGCTATTAGTGTAGCTATTAGTTTTCCTGTTAAGGAATCTTTTAAATAAGCTCTGTTTTGCTGAAGGAACTTATTTGATAAGCTTGAGCTTATTAACAAGCTTCCGGTAGTACCTTTTCAAAATAAGCTAATGAGTTTTTTGTTTATATGTTCTATTTTAACTCATTTTAGCTTTGAGATTGTTTTAATATGTGTTTTTTGTCTTTTAATATTTCTTAAGTAGGTTATAAGCTAACTTTACCAAACACCATATGAAATCAACTAGCTTACCAGCTGTAAGTTTAAGTTATAAACCATAAGTTACTATTAGTTATCAGCTATATACTTTGATATATCAGACGTCAGCTATGGGAAACATATCCTTAGCCTTTTGGCCTGGTTTTGAGCACCTTACTGGTTTCACAGTTTATTTATGAAGTCATATTGAAACTCCAAAGTTCCTGGCATCATGGAGTAGTCAGTAGTCAGTATTCATTACTCTCTTATATATACTCTTATATTAAGCACTTCACTATGACACTTCTTTAGAAAAAGAAAACAACTTGAAAAATAGGTTAAGGTTTTTATTGAAAGGGAGTAGGGAAGAATGACCTGTTGACTCGGGCGCTATCCTCTATCACTCTGATCTTATTTCTAAGATTGAAGGGAGTCCCTTGAATTCAAACACTTTATAGACTTGATTTTTGCAAACTTACAAAATGAATGAACCAATGTATTGATTTCTTCTGGTCAATTCAAACTATTCCACTGTTTTCGTACACAAAAGCTTTTCAATTTGTAAATACTGTTTGATGGCTTGCAGATTTGTACACACCAATTTCTCCTCAAATATCATGGGTGGTGCATGCAAACGGTGAGATATGGAAGCATAAGGATAATGAGCTCCAACCTGAATTTGTTGCAATAATACGCCAGGATCATTTTAAGTAAGCCAAATAATATGCACTTGTCTAAAGAGCTCTTTGGTATAGTATGGCACAATTTCTGTAAAAGAGCGCTGCCTATTCTGATTTTGGATTTGGTTTCTCAGGTTTTTGGGTTAGTTTCCATTCCATGAAGCTCACTGCTTGAAGAGGGAAGATGCTTAGTTCATTTTCTTCTTCCATCGAATTACCAAGCTACTCAAGGTTCTCTTTGTTCTTCATGTGCCTTTCTATGTAATGGTTTCTGTTTTCAAAAGTTGTGTTTCCCCAAAGGTGCCCATTTGATTAGGTTGGGTAGGATATTCGTGTAGATGTTAATATTCCTCATTGGTTCACAGATCTGTAATTCTTTCTGCAACAACAGCGGTTTGTTAATTTTTGTAAATGATTTGGTGTTGATGTTGCTAATATGTCATGGTAAGAGTTGTGTAACAGTGTAACCTTATCATTCATTTGAGTGAATAGAAATGCACACTTTGCCTTAACTTTCTTCGGTTGTGACCAATGTGGATCACAAATCTATTGAAGGAGTATATAATGATTATTATTGACATAGTGTAATGCTTTGTAATTTTTCGTATTCAGTTGTGCAATGCAGAAAAGACAATTTTATATGATTCCATCAGTTTGTGTGAATTGCGGAGCAATCTGGTCGTACATGGTTCTTACTATCGTATTATTTAATGCTTGAAACTTTGTATGCAACGTTGCAACCTAACTCTAATCAGTATGATTTAGGACATGAAATCCATGCGGACTAATAAGGTATGTTTAGGCACATGGAATTAGAAAAGCATTCAGCTAGCTGGAAAGCTACAGAATGGTCTAAAGTTTATTAAGTCAGTGGAGTACATTAGTACATACATCTTTAATATAACTAGTGTTGAGTTACTTGGTCAGTGTAAAAAGACAAAAAAGGAATGGCATCCGCTTGTCGATGGTAGATGTAACACCTGAGTCCTCATGGATTAGGAGTGGCAACTCGTGACAGCTCTCTTGGCTCGGTACTGTCACCACAAACAAGCACATGTATATGCATTATGCTTTTGTTTTGTATATCAAGCAATGTTGTTACAGTAGTACTTAAATATTACATTAATGCATCTCCAGATTTTAGTCCATAACAACCACTGAACCACCCATCCCAGTTTCCATATTCTTTGCCTGCAGTTATTACAGACACAGACTTTTTGATAAGGACCCGGCTAGTCTACCTAATAGAAATAGATTCTATGGGCAAGTCTATTCTAGAAAGTCAAAGTAGACTAGTTAGTTATTAGTTATAGGAGCTGTTAGTAACTAATAACTACCTTCGTTTGTGAAGGTTATAAATAGAATAATTCTGCAGAGGGAAGGCAGGCTTTTGTAAGTTCATTGTCTGGGACTGGGAGTTGGAGTTCTATCTCCTTCTTTGGGACAATTCTTGTACGGTTTACCTATATTGAATGAACGCAGTATTTTCTTCTTTTCTTTCAAATTCAATTCTGTTAATTGAGCTAAGAACAAGGAGATCCTATCATTGGTATCAGAGCGATTCGATCGCGGGATGAGAAATACGCGCGCCAAAAAGGAAGGGAGAATTAACGATGTGGAACGAAGTCAGCGTGAGATGCAGGCGAGTGTGGAAAATCTGGCGACGATGCAAGTTGCGATACAAGCTAGCATTACAGATATCCAGGTTCAGATCACTCGACGATCAAGGAGCAATTCGCAGAGATCGAATAATGCGCAGCGAGCAGCACCGCACAGGCAATTGAGGAATGAAGATTCTTCTGGCGATTCGGACGATCCATCGATTCACACAGATTCGCGAATTGATTACGATCAAAGGCGGAATCATAGAAATAGTCCGAGAATGGGGAGGAAGATTGATCTACCTGTTTTCAACGGGAAGGATGTCTGTGGTTGGATGTTGAGGATGAACCGGTATTTCCGGTTGAATAGAACTGCGGAAGAGGAGAAGCTGGATGTTGCAGTGATCGCAGAGGGGAAGATCAAGCACTTAGTTGGTTCCAATGGTGGGAGAGACAAGCCATACACCTGAATTGGAACGCTTTTACTAAGGCGTTGATCAGGAGATTTCAACCAGAAGTAGTTCAAGATCCCTTGGGACCTCTATTTAGTCTGAAGCAGAAAGGTTCTATCGCTGAGTATAGAAATCAATTTGAAACAGCCATTTCTTCTCAGGAACACTTATCGGAAGAAGTGTTGAAGGGAGTATTCCTCAAGGGACTCAAGAGGGATATAAGAGCAGAGTTGAAGTTGTACACTACCAGGACTTTAGCTGAAGTTATGGATACAGTTTCTTTGATTGAGAATAAGAACCTTGAAGTTGTTTTTATGAAGAATAAAGAGGAAAGTAAGAGGAAGAATCAGAACAGGGTTAGCAGTCAATCTGCAGGACAGAATTTGAATGACAGTAGCAAGTGGAGAAGTCATCCAGGAACTTCTAACCATCTGGGAAATTTTTCCAAGGTGACAGTTGATAATAAAAGCAACAATGATGTTAAGGAACAGGTGATGAGGAGACAGGGACCTAGACTATCCCAAGAAGAATTACTGGAGAGGAGTAAAAAGGGCCTATGTTTCAAATGTGGGGAGACCTGGGGAAGAGGACATGTGTGCAAAATGAAGAATTACAAAATGATTCTAGTGGAAAATTCTGAAGGAGAGGAAAATTCTGATGTGGAATATGAAGATTCAGAAGGGGGCCAGAACACTACTGCAAATCATATGGATATGAATAACATGCAGCTATCCATTTTGAGCAGAGAGGGCATTTCATCCATGACCACTTTCAAAGTGAGAGGGAAATTGAAGTGGCAGGAAGAAGAGAAAGAAGTAACTATCCTTATTGACAGTGGGGCAACTCATAATTTCATGTCCAAGGGGTTGGCAGAAAGGTGGAATATTCCTTATAATCCGATCAAAGGATATAAGGTGCAAATAGGAAATGGGGATCATATTCCTAATCTGGGCCAATGTACTGAAGTTGATATCAATGTACAAGGAGTAGAAATTCACCAAACCTTCTATGTATTGGAATTGGGAGGAATTGATTTAGTCCTGGGGATGGAATGGTTGACTGAGCTGGGGGATATGGAGGTCAATTTTAAACAGCAAATAATCAAATGGAAGAATCAGGGTATCACATGTATGATAAAAGGCAACAATGTAGCAAATCAGATGGAGGTTTCCATGAAAACTATGGCACACATTCTTCAACAGGTGGGGGATGGTTATTTGTTATACTTTGAGGGACAACAGGGGATTCAAGAACAGAAACTTGATGGAGGAGATTGGGAAGGGTTAATTACAGAATTTCCAGAGGTATTCACAGCAAATCTGAAATTTCCACCTGCCAGAGATTGTGATCATGCCATTAATATCAAAGAAGGAGCAGATATACCTAATATCAGACCATACAGGTACTCTTTTGATCAGAAGAATGAAATTGAGAAAATCATAGCTGAAATGTTGAAGGCTGGAATAATTAAAAACAGTAATAGCCCTTATAGTAGCCCCATACTTTTAGCTAGGAAGAAAGATGGGGGCTGGAGGTTTTGTGGAGATTATAGGGCTTTAAATAAGGTGACCATACCTGATAAGTTTCCTATTCCAGTAATTGAGGAACTACTGGATGAGTTAGGTGGTGCCAGAATTTTTTCAAAGTTAGATCTTAAAGCTGGATATCATCAGATCAAGATGAAGGCAAGTGATACACATAAGACAGCTTTTAGGACTCATGAAGGGCATTATGAGTACCTAGTGATGCCTTTTGGGCTGACCAATGCACCTTCAACTTTTCAATCTCTTATGAATGAGGTACTGAGACCTTTTCTGAGGAAAAGTGCTTTAGTGTTCTTTGATGACATCTTAGTTTACAGTAAAACTAAGGATGATCATAAAGAGCACTTGAGAGAAGTTCTGGGAGCTCTACAAGACAATCATTTGGTAGCAAATATCAAGAAGTGTTCATTTGGGCAGGATCAACTGAGTTATTTGGGACATATAATATCTGCAGAAGGGGTAGCAGCTGATCCTGAGAAAATTGTAGCTATGAAGAATTGGACCATACCCAGAGATTTGAAGGAATTGAGGGGTTTCCTAGGGTTGACTGGGTACTACAGGAGGTTTGTAAAAGGGTATAGCAAGATTGCTGCACCTCTTACTCTTTTACTCAAGAAGGATGGGTTTAAATGGGGAGATTTGGCTACTAAAGCATTCAATGAATTGAAGGAGGCCATGACTTCATTACCTGTTTTGAGGGTACCTGATTTTACAAAATTATTTGTGATAGAGACAGATGCTTCTGGAAAGGGTTTGGGTGTTGTGCTTATGCAGGAAGGGGGTCCTATTGCCTACATGAGCAAGGAACTCTCACCTAGGCAATTGACTAAATCAATTTATGAAAAGGAACTTATGGCAATTGTGTTTGCCATTCAGAAGTGGAGACCTTACCTTCTTGGAAGGAACTTTGAGGTTTATACTGACCAAAAAAGTTTGAAACATTTGACTGAACAGAAAGTAATGGGGGAAGACCAAAAAAAGTGGATAGCTAAACTTATGGGGTACAACTTCATTATTAAATATAAACCAGGGATTGAGAACAAAGCTGCAGATGCCCTATCCAGAAAAGCTTCTTTTACAACCCTTTCAACAGTTACTTGCCAGGAATGGGAGGGTTTGGGAGAAGAACTTGAGAAGGATCCTAGATGGGGAGAATTGATTCAGAAAATAGTGATACAACCTGGTATGTTTATGGATTACAAGATGAAGGGGGGACTTCTATACTACAAAGGGAGGCTGGTACTACCTAAGGGATCCCCCAGAATTCAGACTATTCTGAAGGAATACCATGACTCTGCAGTAGGTGGCCATTCTGGATATTTCAGGACCATGAAGACGATCACAAATTTATTCTTTTGGGAAGGTATGAGATCAGACATTAAGGACTACATTCAAGGGTGTGAAATCTGTCAAAGAAACAAGTACCAGGCATTGAAACCTGCGGGGTTGCTCCAACCTTTACCCATTCCAGACCAGGTGTGGTCTGATATTAGTATGGATTTCATTGGAGGTCTTCCAAAATCACAAGGGAAAGACACTATTTTAGTAGTGGTGGACAGACTGACCAAATTTTCACATTTTATACCATTGGCCCACCCTTTTAATGCTAAGGGAGTAGCATAAGTTTTTGTACAGGAAATTGTAAGGATACATGGTTTTCCCAAATCCATTGTTAGTGACAGGGATAGCATTTTCCTGAGTTCTTTTTGGTCTGAGCTTTTCAAAATGGCAGGGACAAAACTTAAATACAGCACAGCTTATCACCCTCAAAGTGATGGGCAAACTGAAGTGGTGAACAGATGTCTAGAGACCTATTTAAGGTGTTTGAGTGGAAGACAACCTAAACAGTGGATGAAGTGGCTTCCTTGGGCTGAATACTGGTTCAACACTAATTACAACTGTTCTTTGAAG